CACAGCTGATCAAGAACTGTAAGAGCGTGTTGTTCTGGCTGACTTTGTGTGTCAGCTTGACACAAGCTGGAGTCATCAGAGAGGAAGGAGCCTCAGTTGAGAAAATGCCTCCATGAGATTCAGCTGCAAGGTAATTTCTCAATTAGTGATCAACAGTGGAGGGCCCAGCCCATGGTGGGTGGCTCTATAAGACAGCAGGCTGAGCAAGCAGGGCGAGCAAGCCAGTGAGCAGCACCCCTCCATGGCCTCTGCATCAGTTCCTGCCTCCAGGTGCCTGGCCTGCTTGAGTTCCTGTTCTGACTTCCTCCAGTGATGGACTATGATCTGGAAGTGTAAGCCAAATAAACCTTTTCCTCCCCAACTTGCTTTCTGGTCATGATGCTTCATTGCAGGAGTGGGAAATCTAACTAAAACACATATTAATTTGTAGAAGATGGCCAACAGAAGCTCAAAGGTGGAAGCGGATTTCCCAGGGTTGGAGAACCAGACACAGGAAGCTGAGACTCTGGCAAGGGCTCCTCACCCCACAGCAAATGCCACCATCCCATCCTGGAGAGCAGTAGACATCTCACGTGCTTCAGAGCTCTGATGGTGTCTCCTAAATGATCTGGCCTCCAGAGGTGCAGAAAGGGAGGAAGGTGTGAGCTGGCAGCCCCTTGAGCAGTCTAGGCCCTATTTCTCTACCTAATCCCGTGGTAAAGATGACCTTGCCTTGTGGGATCCCACGTGGTAACTGAATAAAGACCATATCTTCTCCTTGTGGGCTCCATGTCACCAGAAGCTCCTGTGCACTCCTTTTCCCATCATGAGCATCATCACCATCATCACCACCATCATCACCATCATCACCATCACCACCATCATCACCACCATCATCATCACCACCATCATCATCATCACCATCACCACCATCATCACCATCATCGCCATTATCATCATCAACATCACCACCACCACCACCATTGTCGAAACCAACAATTATTTCGAGTCCCGCATGTGTCAGGCCCCACGTTGAGCCCAGCTATCCCAAACTTCTGTACTATCGTTGTCTCCCATTTACATGAGGTCTAGAGATGACTCATAGCCCCAAGACTAGGCAGGAACAGAACTGGGCTTTCTGAGATTAGAATTTGGGGTGTTGGAGGTATAAGGCCACACTTGAAACGGCTGGGTTGTCATGCCTCTCTCATGGTGTGCCAATGGCTCCCCGTTGCCACTTCCAGGCAAGCATCATCCTACTGACTGTACATCCCTCACAGGACCATCCTCCTGTACAATGGGCCAGCCAGAGAGATTCAAGCAGGCCCTTACACTCACTGACTACCACCCCCTACAGGTAGGTTCTGGCATCTACGTCTTATGATGATGGAGACTGATGCTCACAGGCATCAAGGACTCTGCTGGGCTGTAAGTCTGTCTGTCTGTCTGGTCCCTCACCGGAGATCCAATCACTGCTGAAAGGCACTGTAAGCAAATCAGGTATTAGAGCTGCCAGTCATACCTGCAGGACTGATGAAGTTATCTCAGAGGCGGCGATCCTGAGCAGGAGAAGATGGGCAGGGACAGAAGGGAGCCCACGTTGGGAGCCTGCTGAACCCAGGCAGCGTTTGTCCCCTGGCATTATTGTCACCAACCCAGAGTGGAAGTGGAACTCAAACACCCAAACTGTCACATCCTGGTTGTAGGACCCCAAGGGAGTGTTTATCAATAATATCCTCGAATCCAGTGATTCTCTAGACACCTCACTGTTAACACAGGTCTAATCTTGAAATTTTTCAGCTGGCTAAAGAGGCTTAAAAATCATGTCAACGACTTAATGACGCCTGCTACAACGTGGATAAATCTTGGAAATGTTCAATGAAATCCACAGTGGTAGAAAGGAGGCTGGGCTGACCTAGGGCTGGGGGTAGTGGTGGTGATGAGGTACTGAAAAAGAGTACCAGATCTCTTTTTGAGATGATAACAATGTCCTAAAATTGGTTACTAAGATATCGGCACAACTCTGCAATGATTCAAAAAAAACTGTCCAACCATACAGTTTAGATGGAGGAACTACTTAGGTGGGTCAGTCAAGTTGCTCCAAACTTAGGTAAGAGCTCTGGCATATTCAGCACCCAGCTACATAGGCATCCAAACACCCAAGCACCCTGAGGTCTCCACCATGTCCCCACTGAGTCTGAGGCTTATCATGCCACACATTTAGTTATTTTATTATTTTATTTTTGAGACTGGATCCCCCCCCCCCCCCATTGTATGGACTGGCTTTAAATTCACTCTGTGGCCCAGAAAGGACTTGAATTTGTAATCCTCCTGCCTCTGCCTTCCTGGTGCTAGGATCACAGGCATAAGTCACAACCCTGGGCTACCATGCAAGTTTTCACACGTGTAGGACATATGCCTCTGAACACTGTGCTATTTCTAACTGTATATAAATAACTAGTATTGTAAACCCTTGGTCTGCTTTCCCTAGGTAGCATAAACTCTATCCATGGACTTGATCAGCTCTAGTAATAGCTGACTCATGCTCCCTGTGGATAGTAGCTCGTTGATGACATTGTTACACTGTAACCTTCCATGGCATCTCTGGCCACTCTGATGCCATTGTTACACTGTAACCCTCCATGGCATCTCTGGCCACTCTGATTCTGTTGTTACACTATTGTTACACTGTAACTGTCCATGGCATCTCTGGCCACTCTCTGGTCAGATCATAGCCCCCCTCCGCCCCCCCCCCCTTCCCCCTCCTCCGCCATCCTTTACCTTGCAGCAGACACAATGCTGCCCATCCATCTTTTCATTGCGCACACATGCGCACTTTTTTCTATGGTGCCTTGGTGGAGAGCAGCTGCCACACACATGCGCACTTCTCCAGGCTTTGTCTAGGAGGGGAGCCGCTCTGCCAGGCAAGCCTTCCCTTCGCCAAATGCTGCCAAGCTGGGGTTCACCATATCTTCATATATATGAAGATACCAAGGTCCAGAGACAGAAAGCCACCTGAGTCCCTCAGGGTCTGGAGCAAGCTTTCTGGGCTTTTTCTTCCCTAGAATTTTCTATTTCTTTATTTTTATTTCCTTACAAATCTCCGTGACCACCCGGGTGGACTGTTATCAGAGCTGCTCTAAGAGAAACACATTATCAGCATCGTTTGGGGGCTCTGGAATTGCTTTCAGGAGGAAATGGGGAAGAAATATACCTCAGAGGATTCCCACAGGGGCCCTAAAACGCAGGCCAAGGGCAGGAGAAAAGATGCATTTCCAGGAGCAGACACAGCGCTCTCGCAGCTAGGCAACACCTGGCCACTCAACAGCTGTGGGCTGCTGGAGCGCTCCCACACTGGTCACCTGACCTTGTTTCCCATGAGCAGGCCGGAGCTGCTGCTCAAGGGCTTCTGAAACACAGAGCCCTTTCCACACTCACAACCAGCCTCCCTTCTAGTGAGATCTCAGGGCCCAAAGGAAACATCTGGACTCTGCACCTGCTTTCTGGTTCATCTCTAAGACCCCGCATCCCTGTTCCAGGTGGCCAGGGCTCCACAGACTTGTCACTCCCAGAGTGGACAGGTCACCGGCAAAACAGATGTCCCCAGGAGCCTGCTGGGAGGACATGACGGATAAGGGTGTGGGTGCTGAGGATTTCTGTCTCTATTGCTAAGAGCCACGGGGGATGCTGAAGTGCTGGGTTCGTGAGGGCTGTGCATTAACTTTACAAAACACCATCTGGCTTCTTTATGAAGGGTTGAAAGTGGCCAGGTCAGTAGGCTCCTGCAGTACGTGAGGTGACACATGGTGGCACTCTGGACAAAGTGATGCTTGTGGACATGGAAAGATCAGAATGGGACCAACGGTTCTTTTGTTCTTTGAGGTGTGTCTCACTCTGCAGCTCAGGCTGGCTTAGAACTCACTATTAGCTGGTCTCCAGCTTACAGCCATCCTCCTGCTTCCTTCCACCTCCTGAGTGCCAGGATGGCAGGGTTACAGCTGTGGACCACCAGGCCCACCTTCAGCGGCAGTTGTGACCAATGGGATGTGAGGGAAAAGATGGCGTCACAGAACCCTACCTATGGCTTGCGGCAAGATGGCTCAGCAGGGAAAGGGTCGAGCCTGATGACCTGAGTTTGGATCCTCAGGACCCATGTGGTGGAAGGAGATAATTGACTTCTGCAAATTGTCCTCTGACTTCCACAGGTGCATTATGGCATGTGCATTCACACACACACACATACACACACACACACACACACACACACACACAATTTTTAAAACCTGTTTAGGTACTGGGCAGCGTGCAGAATTTTGGGAAGGCACGGAGTGGGGAAAGATGACTTCAGTTGTGCATCCCTGCGGAAGGATGGCCAGTGAGACACACCTGTTCGGTACTGAGGAGGCTACCAGCATGCTTTGTGGGCAGAGCATTCTCTCTGGCTAGGAACCCCACCAAGGGGCTCCCACTTTATCATTCTCACACTGATACTGCTCTCAAGCATCTACAGCACCCACATCAGACAGCTGATGGGCTAATGACTGTAGCTTAGGAGAAACCACAGCAAGTGTGAGCCCCTGGGTCTGCTCGCACCTCCTATTTCAGACACATAACTAGGAGGCTTCACCTGGATTGTGCGCTGAGCCTGCCTCAGGTGCTTTCTCAACATGATCACATAGCAGAACTAAGGGACATGGCGAAAGTGGGAGGCGATGGAGGGAAGGCCCTGCAGGGGTGATGAGGCGGCAGGATGGGAGGGTTGAGAGTTGAGCAGGGAGAAGGTGAGAACAGAAACTGATGAGGGACTGGGGGTGGGGGGTGGTGCATGGGTCAGAAGGTCCTGGCAGAGATCAGGCTAGAGAGAGAAGGTAGGCATGGCACTGGGTTGTGAGTACAGGGGAGCCACAGATGGTGTTGGAGCAGAGGAGTGGAGTGCAGTGGGCAAAGCTAAGGAGCCACTGAAGCTGCTGCCACCGCCCAGCACCGCTGCCACTGTGGCACTGAAGCTGCTGTAAGGGAGCTCAGGAGAGGTGAGGGACGAGGCCGACACTGCCGGTGAAGGCACAACCTTCGTGCTGCAGCAGAAGCAAGGTGAGTTGGAACATTCATGCTAGCAGGAAGCATGTAATGCAGTGTGCCTAGCTGAGCATGGGGAACCGCTTGAAGAACTAGCCACAGATGACTCAGAAGTAACCTGGTAATTATTTGCAGGTTCAGCAGAGTTTTGGAACTACCGGAAGACTGTATCTCTCTAGTTTGAATGACCTCCCTGCCGTAACTCCCTCCACTCTGCAATCCTGTTTGGCCGAGGTGCCAAGGGAGCCTCTGGTCTTCAGCCTCTTGTTTCTTGGGTTAGCTAAAACTGGAATAAGGGCCACAGAGAGAGGACCCTGTCTGTGGATTTGCTCGGCTGCCACTCAGAGGTGGTGACAGGAGCCTAGTTGAGACCAAAGCCCTGGCCACAGGCTCTACCCATGTTGGCTGTTGGGGTCAAAAATCTGGAGCCAGGAAAAACAGGGCAGGGCTGGCCAAAGAAGAGGTTTAGGGTGTGTGGCAGCAGCTGTCACCACCCATGGAAAGTAACCAAGGGTCATGAGAAAACAAAGTCCTATTCCTATGATGGCAAGCTTTGGTGCTGGAAGGGGATGCTCCTGCCTTGGAGGCATCATCCACAGCACAACGACTTATTGTTCTGAAATACACATTGGACTGGACTACATCCTTCCTCCCCAAACCTTTCCTGATGCTACTTTTATGCTCTGTGAGGAAGCACAGCCTGGGTGCAAGACGCAGCTTCCACTCACCATCCCTGCACCCACAGCAGACATTATTAAGCGATTACCACACTTTTTGATATCTGGATGCAAGATGCCTCAGGCACTGGCCTCCAGGCAGTCATTACCAATTGCTCTGATTTGGATATAACATGTTCCCAGTGTTTGAACACTTGGTCCTCAGCAAGCAATGATGTTTGGGGAGGGGTGGTGGGACCCTTTAGGAAGTGGGCCTATGTAAAGGAAGTGCTGCAGTAGGGAGTGGGCCTTGGGGATTACAGCCACTTTTCTACATTTGACCCAAGCTCTCTGTCTTCTGGCCAATGCCATGTGAACAAGCAGCTACTCAGATTCCTGCTGCCACCATGCCTCTTCATCCGCCATGCTTTTCCCCACCATGATAGACTGTATCATCCCAAACCGTGAGCCAAAACAAACCTCTCTCCATTAAGCTGCTTCTGTTGAGTACCCAGTCAAAGAGGAGGAAAGTAAGTAACAAGCTGTCAGTCACCCTCAACATAAACAATGTCTGAGCAGAGCCTGGTTCCCTGCAGCTTTGACATCTCTTTCTACCCTAATCCCTGCTCATCTGCTTCCTGTCACCACTCTGGGCTCCAAGTTCCTTAAACTACTGGTCAACCTCAGATTCACCTGCCTCCTCATTCCTCAAAGCTTTTGTTCTGGGCGTTCTCTAGAAGGACCTGCGATCCGACTGTTAGTGGATCTTCAATGTTGTTTCTCCCCCTTTCCGTGGGAATAATGATTTACTGACTGGCCTTCTGGACTGGGCTGGCCTTGAACTTGCCATGTGGCTGAGGTCGACCTTGAACTCCTGATCCTCTTGCTTCTACCTCCTCAGGGCTAAGATTATAATCTATACATGAACCACTCAGCACATGTCTGTCCGGCTTTCCTTGGACCATCCTCTAACTAAGGTCTGGCCAGAGGTAGGTGAGCAGGACTGAAGTGTGGCTCTTCCTCAAGTTCTGACCAGCTGCACGTGACTACTCAGCACTTGTCCACTCTCCTTTCATGCTGGCGAAAGTCTAAGGAGCTGCCAGAGCCTCAGAGAAGCAATCTCCAAGATGCAGACAGCACAGTCACCTCCCTGCTCTGCACCACGCGCCTGTGACACACTCAGTAAGAGACATTTACCCTCTGAAGTTCCTTCACTCAGACTTTGGTCATGGTGGCAGATTAGCACCCTTATTGAGCATACCCTCTAGCTTGCTTCCTTGTTCTGTACGGCCAACCTCCAGTGCTACCTCCTAGGTGACATTTACCTGCTGTTCCCTGATTTGTGGGGCTCTCTGGTACTTCATAGTGCTCCTCACAAAATGTCTGAACCACACGGTGGCTGTGGCATCATCCACCGGCCTGGCCAAAGCAACTTTTCCTTCCCCCCCACCCCCGCATCCATCTTCTAGTCATGTACCTGTCCTGGGGCTGACAAGCTGGTGGATGACATCACCCCACATTCCCACAGTTGCTGCCCAACTCCTCCAGCCCGATATTCAAGACCCCAGCTTCCCCATCCCATAAGAGACTGGGCCTAGGCAAAAGGGATGGGTCCCATGGCAGCATGCCTGCTGCCAGCCCCACCCAGCCCCAGCACGACGGGCCTGAAGGAGCTGCTTCCTTGCCAGCTGGAGCCTATATTGTCCTGCTCCTCATGTGTTAGTAAGAACAGGGACAGAGAATGGGTGAATTTCCCTGATCTTTGTATTGGCCTCAAGTGGTCTAGGAAGTCCCACGGTACATATATCTGTTCTCAGGACCCTCCCCCTGCCCTGTGTGCTTTGCAAAGGGCCCACACCCATTCCTCAACTTCTGGCTGCTGCGGCCCTCTTCCCTGAGGCTTGACCTCTGGCATCCTGCCCTGAGTCTGTGAGCCCATCGCTCCCCTGGCAAACAGTGTACGCAGCAGGATGCTGAAAGAGAGCTATTTTGGGGCAGGGAGGATCTCAGGAGGATGCTGGCGAGGTCAGTGTAGGAAGGGCAGGAGGCAGGTTCTCTGCCCATGATTATGAGTCCTGAGACTTCTGAATGCTGCCCAGGGACCCAGGGCTGCCACCGGGAAGAGCACACCCACCACAGGATTCCAGCTTTGGCCTCTTTGGACCACAGGAACCAAAGGGGACAGGCGTGGGTTTGGAGCTGTAGGATCTGATCCATCAGCCACCACAGGCAGAAAGAAAGTGTTGATTTGGTGTGTCCAATAGAGAGAAATTCAGGGCAGGCAAGACTCAAGGTAGAGTGCAGGGCAACACAGGTGAAGTAGATTGACCGTGGGTGGAGACTACGAGGAAGAATCTAATTACCAATTTATTAACACTCATTGAGCACCTACTGTATACAAGGATAAAGGTGTGTAATACTTTGTGTTTGTATATTTTACAAAGGCATCAGGAGCCACAGAGAGATTTGTAAACTGTAACCCCAAGGCAATGATCTGAAAGAAGGATTCAGGTACTGGGAGGGGTAGGAGAGGGATTTCCTGACCCATTTGAGGACTCGCAAGCATCCGGGATGCTCAGTTTCCCCTCACCTCTTTTTACCATGAGTTTTCGTTTTATTTTCCAAAAGAAGGTCTCCTCTCAGGAGTCTCAGGCTGGCCTCTGACTCACTATGAAGCAGAGGATGGCCTTGAACTCCTGATCCTCTGGCCTCCACCTCCCGAGTGCTAGAGTTATAGGAATGAGCCCCCACACCGAGTATATATATGCTGAGAATGGAACCCAGGGCTTCGTGCATGCTAGGCAAGCACTCCACCAGTTGAGCTACGGTCCCAGCCATTTTTCAGCTTCTTGAGGGAGGTTACCCACCAATGCGAGATGCTTGCTCCCTGCACACAGTAGGTCCTCCCTTGGGGACAGTGACAAAAATGGCTGTTAGGTAGAGTAGGTGAGTTTCTGTGTTAAGGACATTCTTTTCACTGGGGGGTGAGATGCCTCTGCCTTCCCTATCAGCAGGGGCAGGTGATGACCATGGCCTTGAACATGCAACCAACACTGCCCCCAATGCCAGGATATGGCAGCTGAGCAAAGAATTTTGGTGCATCATTGACAGACCTGAGACAATGGAGGAGATTAACTAATAATAATAATAATAATAATAATAATAATAATAATACTGCTTAATATCAGGTAAGGCACTAACAAGCCAGCTAACAAGCCTAGCGATCTCCACCACATATTTACCGAGTGACCTTTACCCTTGTTTCAAACAAAGCAACTGAGGCACAGAAAGGTCGGGAAACTGACAGCTACACAGCCGATAAACGTCAGAGATGGAATTCAAAACTGTCTTTCATGGTACCACTCTTGTCTAAGACAACAGACACAGTCACACAGAACCTGGGTAGGCCCAGAAACCTGTCCAGACCCTGTCACTTCACCGACACCTACATCTCAGCTCGCTAATTTTGGCATCTCCTGGATCAAGCAGAAAGCTTTCTCTGGAACTCTGGGCTCCGGGGCCCAATCTCCTAAGCCTCAGAGAGAGAGGAGCTGGCTTCCTGGGGCTCTGGACACCCTTTTGATTAATCCAGACAGGCAGCTTGTGGGACCAGTGGCCCTTATCAAAGTGTCACCTCTTCAGGGATAGCGCGCTAGCCTATTCATGCCTGGCCACCAGGTACCTCCATTGCTTGCATGCTTAGTGTACTGGCTAATCATCGCTGTTGGGCCGAGTGGGTTTAAAATCACCGTGCAAACACATTTCAGGGTGTGTCTGTGAGGGCATTTCCAGAGAGGCTTAGCTGTGGAGGGTAGACCCACCCTGGGCATCATCCCACAGGCTAGGATCCCAGAAGGAATAAAAAGGAAAAGGCAATCTGAGAAACCTACCTCTCTCCTGCTCCCTCCCCTGATCTGCTGAGATGTGAACAAACAGCCTCTTGCTGCCACAGGCAGGGGCTGATTCTGGGGTTGTGCCTTGCCTATCACAATGGACTGCACCCCCTCCGACTGCGAGCCAAGACAAGCTCTTTCTCCCTTTAGGTGCTTCCTGCCTGGCATTTGGTCACAGCAAGGGAAAAAGCGATTAATACATTTAACGTCTGTCAGTCTCTCTTCCCTGGCTCAGGGAACCTGTGGGGCATTTCTAGAAGGTTGTAAGCTTCTAAAGCCAGGGGAGGACCTCCCCAGGAGCCTAGACGGAGCCTTTCCAGGGCCATTTGCCCACCATAGTCACCTAGGAGGCTTCAGTGTGCACTAGGAGACCGTGAGTAGGCAAAGCCTCCAGCAAATATTATTATTATTATTATTATTATTATTATTATTATTATTATTATTAAGCATGTCTCTGTGTTTCCCCAAATCCTTTTCTTTCTGTCCCTTCCAAGGCTTATATCCCAGTCCAAACAGTGCCCATCCCTCCTCTGTCATTAGCTTAATGAACATAGTCAGAAGCTGGAGGAGTCCTCACACACACTCACATGTCAGTGGTAGTAACTGGTGACAGCGCACTTGAACCCAACACCAAATATGATGCCTGCACTGAGCAGGCCCTCTGCACATGGCTTTGAATACAGAAAGAGACAGTTGAGGAGCAAACTGTGCGAGCCAAGGCCCCATGGCATCCCGGATCTACTCATGCAAGGCCGGATAATAGCCAAAGCAGAATTTGAATCCAATATATACTTCCAGCACCATAGGGCCATCCATCCATTCAGGTGACAGACATTCTTGTACACCTACTAGGCCTTCAGAAATGGAAGGCACAACAGTGACGTGGTAAGAAGAGTCCCCACACACTATGCAGAGTCTATCATGAATTTCAAAACATTTCAAAGCACATCCACCAAGTGATATGCTTTCACTTAATCTACTTTAGAGAGTGTCAGGTGTGCAGAGGAATTAATGAATGGGTGTGCTTAGATTAATGAATGAGGGATTGGGTACATGAATGGATGGAGGGAGAGAGAGGAATAGAGGAAAGGAGGGATGGAGGGAAGGATGGGAGATAGGAAGATGAACAGTAAGTAGCTCGATGAGAGGCAGTAGTCGAGCTGGACAGAAATACAAGAAGGACTTCCGGGATGTGGTGCCTGACCAAGAGACGCCGCTATCACCTCACCCGTTCGCAGGGCTCCTTACCTGGTGGGCAGTTACATCCTGGAGACATCTTGGGAGCCTCCCGGCGCCTGCGTGAGTAGAACTTCCATTTCTGCACAAAAAGACAAGAGAAATCACCGGGAGCTGGCAAAGCTCCGGCCTTGGAAAGCCAGCCTGGGGGATGAAGGGGAGTGTGTGTGGAGGGAGGGGCCAATCAAGGGATGCGGGGCGGTGGGGGTGGTGGGGGTGGTGGGGGTAAATGGGATTGTTCTGGGATCAAAGCCTGGCAGCTCATGGTTATTCAGCAGGCTCTACTCAGGTCCCTATAAACTAGTGGCTGCCTGGGGTGACTGGATGGCACATGTTTCTTAGCTCTTTGCTATTGTTTCCCTTCTCCAGCTGGGTACCTGGGCGAGGACAGAGCCTTCCGCTCTACTCACCCCCTCAAGGCCAGCACAGGCAGGTGGACAGGGATGGGTGATGGGGGGCTGGGGAGGCTGAGCAGGCCCTAGACACCCCTCTCCACCAAACCTCTTCCTCCCCGCTTGGAAACCACAGCGCCAATCTGGAAGGCCCTAAAGAGGCGGGATACCTGAAGTCCCAGGAAGTTGTGTGTGCACGGCAGCAATGAAATCCACTGGTGCAAAATGGCGGCACAAGGTGGGCTATTTATGGAGGCCGGGGTCTATGTGTCCTCTCTGCAGAGGGCTGTGTGCTGTATGCCTCACATGGGACTCTTGCGCGAGCCTTGCTAGGAGGTCAGCTTGGGTAACACAGGGGTTGACTGAGACCCCTCTGGAGACCCCGCTTCTCCAGCTCCACCATTCACAGCCCACAGAGTGCATTTCCCAGGCTTAGGCCGGCTCCACCCCACAGCTGCTTCTGTCTCGGGTGGTCCCTCCACGATCCCGACACCTCCACAGGCCGCACTTTACCCACGGCCTGGGTTTTCTGTCCCTGTCACGTGGAGGCAAGTCTCAACTTTTTCCCGTGACCCCTTCAATCCTGGGGTCTCCACCACAACTGAGGCTGTACCTTCACCAATGGCCTCTCCTGGCCTCTGCCGGCACCAAGCCTCAGCTGCTGCTCTCCCTGATCCTCCTGTCAGTCCAGAAGCTCTCATGCTGCCAAGACCAGTAACACACAGGACACACACACACACACACACACACACACACACACACACACACACACCCCAAAAATAAAACCAACCTCCCCCCCCCAAAAAAAAAAACCTCTTACACATTTACCAAGTATGGCTGCCAGCAGGTGATGCAGCCTTAGCCCCCCCCTGGATAATCCTCAAAGACTTCACCTCCATGATGCTGGGCTCTTCTTAATTACCGCTACTTTCTCAGCTCTAGCTGAAGAGCACCAACTGTCCCAGCAAAAACAAAGGTTTCACTTTAGTGGCACTGGTCTCTCGCTAATCACTGCTGGCCAGACACCAGAGATTCCCAATTCAAAATACCACACGAACAACCCCGATCGGGTCTTTGAAGAGCTCTCCAACTTCCCTCTGGAACTTGACAAGCCAGCCTGCAGCGTCTGCACCGCCTTCAAAAAGACAGTCTCTTCCGAGTTCCCACAGAACAGTCCATTCAGCTCAAGCACTCAAGAGCTTTGCGAGCTCAGAGTTCCAGACTCCTTTCACCGTCCTCCCCAACAGCATACCCCCTGAACCCTCCTTCCACCGTCCTCCCCAACAGCATACCCCCTGAGCCCTCCTTCCACCGTCCTCCCCAAACAGCATACCCCCTGAGCCCTCCTTCCACTGTCCACCCCCAAACAGCATACCCCTAAACCTGGTACCAATGTCTGTCCCGGTTGACTTTCTATTGCTGTGATGGACACCATGACCAAAAAGCAAGCTGGGGAGGAAAGGGTTTATTTGGCTCATACTTCTACATTGTAGTCCATCACTGAAGGAAGTCAGGACAGGAACTCAAACAGGACAGGAACCTGGAGGCAGGAGCTGATGCAGAGGCCATGGAGGGGTGCTGCTTACTGGCTTGCTCCCCAAGGTTGCTCAGCCTGCTTTCTTGTAGAACTGAGGACTACCAGCCTAGGGGTGGCCCCACCCACAGCTAGCTTGACCCTCTCCCATCAATTAGGAAAATGCCCTACAGGCTTGCCTATAGCCCTATCTTATTGTTCTCAGTTGAGGCTCCTTCCTCTCCAGAGACTCTAGCTTGTGTCAAGTTGAGTCTGTGGACCAGGCCCTCCCTCACCAACCATTAATGAAGAAAATGCTTTGCAGATCTGCCTACAGGAAATCTGATGGAGGAATTTTCTCAGTTGAGGTTCCTCTTCCTAGATAATTCTAGCTTGTGTTACACATACACACACACACACACACACACACACACACACACACACACACACACATACACACACACATACACATACATACATACACACATACATACACACACACACATACACACACACATACACATACATACATACACACACATACATACACACACACATACACACACACACACACACACACACACACACACACACACCCCAAAAACATTCAAAAAACTAACCAGGACACCTGGCTACCTTCACCCTCTCTGCCTGGCCGAGGATTTCCTTCTGGTGGCTGATCACCCCCCTGGGCTGCCGAGTCTGTGGTCAACTCTTGTCTTCCTTGACCTGTAGCAGTATTACATACTTCTCTTCCCCCTCCTCTGTGCACTAGATTAGACACAGAGGTCAGGACGTGGTGGCACACACCTTTAATCCCAGCACTTGAGATCTCATGCCTTTGTTTGGGAAGCGCACGCGCCTTTAATCCCTGGAAGTGATGGTTAGGCAGAGAAAGGTATATAAGGTGTGAGGAAACAGGAACTCACTCTCTTTAGGCTGAGAATTTCATAGAGGTAAGAACTAGTGGCTGGCTGCTCTGCTTCTCCGATCTTTCAGCTTTCACTCTGATATCGGGCTCTGGGTTTTGTTTTTTTTTTTTTTGGTTTTTTGAGACAGGGTTTCTCTGTGTAGCTTTGCGCCTTTCCTGGAACTCGTTTTGGAGACCAGGCTGGCCTCGAACTCACAGAGATCCGCCTGGCTCTGCCTCCCGAGTGCTGGGATTAAAGGCGTGCGCCACCACCGCCCGGCTTGTTTTGTTTTTTTTAATTAAAGGACCATCTAAGTTTCGAACAACAGTAAGAAGGCATGGTGCTGAAGAAGGAGCTGAGAGCTCATCCTGATCTGCAAGCAGAGAGAGAGAGAGAGAGAGAGAGAGAGACAGAGAGAGAGAGAGCGCGCACTTGGGCCTGACATGGACTTTTGAAACCTCAAAGCCCACCCCCAGTGACATACTTCCTTCAACAAGGCCACACCTCCTAATCCTTCTAATCCTTTCAAACAGTTCCACTCCCTGGTGACTAAGCATTCACATATATGCACCTATAGGTCTACTCTTATCCAAACTATTGCAATGATTGATGACAGCCCCATATTCACACCTCTAGCCTGGACCTTCCTCTGGGTCATGTGACCAGCTGCTTGCCTGACAGTTTATTCTTTGCCATCTCAGAACAGGGTCCCAAGGCTGAGCTCCCAGCCTGCTGCCCCATCCCTCCCACACAGGTCCCATCAGAGCAGACTCAGTTTCTCCCACTCTCCAAATCATCACTGATGACTCTCTCCCCCACACACCCTACCAGCAAACACCCCCATCTTCTACCTTGTAGACACACCCAGATCAGCCCTTCTCGCCAACCCCAGCACTACCACCTGCTCCAGGCACAGCTCTAGCCCAATGACCTTGATAACCTAATGCCCCCACCCCACATCCCACCTGGACCCAGAAGCCCCATTCTCAACAGTTGCCAGACCCATCATCTCTCCAGGCTTCCTCCTACCCCAGGGCCTTTGCACATGTGATTGCTCTCTTTCTGGAATGTTCTCTTTTTAGTTGTCCCCCTGGCATGCTCCTAATGAGTCCCTCCTTGCTTCCTGTCCCCATTCCACATACTTCCTGTCCCCTTCCCTACTTCATTTCCTCCTTTACATTTTTCTCTCTCTCATCTATTGCCTCCCCACTTTGCCAACGGAAGATAAATTCACAGGAAGAAAAACCATATGTTCTGTGTTCTTCGTCACCATGTGCCCAGTGCCTACAACAGAGCCTGGCACACAGCGGGCATTCAGGAAACACTGGCTGTTGACAAATCAGGTGTCAACGGGGAGCTCGACTCAGGCCCCACCGCAGTGGGGAACTGGGGGCCATGGGCTACGACTAACTCAGTCGGGTGTGGAGTGAAAGCCAAACCCCCTCAGAGAGGAATGAGCGACCCAGGTCACCAAGACACACCCTCTGAGTGACCAGCTTTGGTTATTTAATCCACCAGTCCTGGCCCCTTAGGTATCGTGAGGCCCTAGTGAGAGACCCTCCATTAAGGCTGGAGGTGGGTGGGTAGGACACTTTCTGCAGTCTTGGTTGGGGCATGGACGGACCCCAGCCCCTCTATGCTGAGGGGCCCTTCTGCTGTCTTGGCTAGTAGCCAGGGCCTCCTGGAATGCCCTGTGCGGTCAGGGCTGAAACACCACCAGCCTGATGGGTCGCAGCTATTAAAATGCTGGTGTCAGTATCAAAGGAAGATGCCAGGCAGTCACTCGCTTCCCCAGAGAACACAGTTCCAACCCAGCTTGGGCTTAGGGGCCGCTCATTCCCCAGGTCCTGGCTCGGGGCTCTTAAACGGACCAGGCATCTACCCAACCCCAGCCTCTGTCACGCACGGGTCCAGACGGTGGTAGAGGGTGGCGAGGCCAGAGGCCCGGGGTCACCGTCACTCTGGGGTCTTCCCTCAAGAAAAGGCTTCAAAACGAGATATTGTCTCCTTGACCACCACGCAGGTGCTGAGAGGGAGCAGCCAAGCGGGAAGCATCGGGCACGGTCACTCACAGTTGAAGGTGACACACTCCGTGGGATTGGGCTGTAGCTCAGTGGTATGAAGTGTTCGCCTGGCATGCGTGAGGGTGTGGCTTATATCCCCTGCACCAGAGAGAAAACGCCGGGGGTCGCGGGGGCCATGTCTGTAATCCCAGCACACGGTAGAAGCAGGGGGATCATGGCAATGTGGAGGCCAGCCTGGGCTG